CCTGTGGTGGGTTCCATCTGCTGTCTCCGCTCCACACCCTGGACAAGGGCCTGTGCTCTCAGGGAGTGAGGCACACCTGACACCTATGGGAGTGTGGCCTTTCTGGGGGTGAGAACACGGGACCCGCAGTCCGGGCTGCCTTGGCCAGGACTGTGCTCTGAGGAGCTGGAATCCTTTCCTGAGTTTCTTTTCAGCCTTGGAAATTGAGATCCCTGGAAATTGTCCCAATGCCTTTGAAGTCCATACCACGGGGCTCGGTTATCAGAGACGTGGTGTTATAATAAAGTGTTTCTGGTACTTCCAGTAATAGATTCCCCCGGGGGTCATGTTACAGCAAAGCAGCAGGGTGTACCTGTCACAGGCTTGGCGTCCAGAGATGCGATTAAGAGAAATGAGGAAACAGTGCCTCATGTTGTGGTACATAGTTCACATAATTATGTTTTATGGTCTTTCATTGTGTTGCATAACTTCACAAGAAATTAATTCCCTGTTCATTTTAATGCGATTAAAAAATAAAAATATTTGTTTTGACTGTTAATCTTGTAGAGTTATACGGCTACGGTGGTATCCCTGGAGTTCACCCCTTCCTACCGCAGACGGCGTGGGAGGCCCGCATTCAGGGAGTTGCCTGGGGTGATGCAGCTCTTAGTGGAAGAACAGCACCACTGCCCTCGGGCCCTGGACTTTGATTTCTGTGCCTGTGCAATTGGAAACTCATTTTTATTGTCATTGCTGTTATCAGGCACCGAATATGCTGTCAGCAGCTCAGTGGACACAGGATATTGTGAACAGGGCTTTGTAGTCAGATAGACCAGGGGTCAAAACCTGGCGTTATCATTTACTAGCTGTGGAGCCCTAAGTTCAAGCTTATCTATAAGGTGCTGTTAGCACCTTCTTGCAGAGCGGTTGTGGGGATTATGGGTGGTGATGTCACACCCGGCATCGTGCGGGGTGCCGAGTAGGGCCTGGACGAATGGACCGTTCATGCTACTGGAACTGTTCGGTCCTACAGACCCAGGTCGGGCCCAGCTGAGGGATCCTGAAGGAATTTGGGTGTTAACCCCTGAGTGATCACTGATGTCTTGGCTGGAGATTGCCGCTCTCTACTTCCTCAGCCAAAGCCCCAACGGGTAGTCGCTGGGGAGATAAAATGGAGTTGCTTTCACAGGGGATGGAGCTCGATGTGGAGGGAAGAAGAGGTGGAGGCCCATTTGCTGAGTTCCGTTCTGTAAGTCACACCGACATAGAACACTTGAGGCCGGGCACACTTGAACTTTTATTTTATCTTATTTTATTTATTTATTTAGTTAATCCTCACCTGAGGATATTTTCCCATTGATTTTTAGAGTGGAAAGGAAGGGGAGAGACAGAGAGAGAAAAACATCGATGTGAGAGAGACACATCAATGGGTTGTCTCCAGCATGCGCCCCGGCCAGGGCCAGAGATTGAGCCTGCAACCCAGGTACATGCCCTTGACCAGAATCGTACCTGGCCAGTAGCGTCCACAGGCCGACTCTATTCGCTGAGCTGCACCGGCTGGGGCACACTTGAACTTTTAAACTGGCCAGGGTCCTCAGCCCGCTCCTCAGCTGCCTGGTGCCCCTCCTAATGGAACATAATTAGAACATAAACCCACAGAAGATACCAGTCTCTTCTCAATCAGAAGGTGGAGTTTTATACTAGTAGCTGGTTTAATGTTCTTACTGACTATGAATGGTCATAGACTGCAGCCCTAGGTGACATTGATATTTCAGAACTCCAAATGCAGATGATAGTCAAACTGTATTGAACTGGATTTGCCTTTTCTTTGATTCTGTGGGCGTGGCAGGTCCCAGAGGGCCGTGGCCATCTTGGTGACTCGTAGTGGTCCAAGCCCAGCTGCAGTGGTACAAAGCGCCAAAGAGTAGACCCATTTTCTTCCTTGCCCTTCGACACACTAGATAATTTTGTTTTCTTTACATTAAATATCTGATACCAACTTGCTCATGTTTTGATTGCTTCTCACACAAGCAGAAGGCAGATTATAAAACAATTTGTCTCTTTTTGCTGTTTTCTGGTGGTTTTAATTTTGCACAAAGGAGAACTTAGAGCACACTTTCGGAGCTTAAATCAAGTGCTTACTCTTGAGTGGTTCTGGAGCCATCCTACCAAATGGTGAATTTGTTCAGTTTATCTTGCATTCTTCAAAGACAATTTCAAGAAGTTGTAACAGTTCACACGGGTGAGGTTGCTGAGTGACTATTTTTTGCAACTGCATAAACAACTTTGACTGGAGGGACATTAAAACAGTCATTACAACTGTATTCCTTATGTTCAAAAAGTCCGGTAGAGACATGGAAGCTAAAATTAGATCCAAATAAAATTTCTAGAGATGAAAACTACAATGTGCGAGATGAAAAATACACTGGATGTGATTAAAGGCAGATTAGATATTGAAGAAAAGATGAGTAAATTTTAAGATATAGCAGTAGAAACTTACCCAAAATGAAACAGAAAGGATAAATTAAAAAGAAAGTGGAAAGAGCATGAATGAGCTGTGGCTAACTTCCGGTGGCCTAATAATGTGTGTAATTGGATTTCTGAAGGAAGGAAGAGTTAACACAATATTTGAAGAAATAATGACTTCACAGTTTACAAATTTTATGAAAACT